CAGCCCTGCGGGGTGGGGGCAGGGGCACAGCCTGAGCAGGATGGTTTGCCTCCGAGGCTCGCTGGGCTGTGGCCACCGGCTGCTCCCCTAGGCACCCTACCCCACCCTCCAGGAGCGGTGTGATGGGGCCTGGTGAACTGATAGCCCTGGGAGCACCTTAGGATGAGGGAGAAGGTCTCACCCTCCCACCTCGAGGGGCCGAGGATGGGTCCATGCCCAGTGTGGCCCTGGCCCGGGGCCTCGGACACTCACTGTCTGCAGCCTGGGCACGCCGAGCCTTCCTAGCTCCTTCCCAGATCCTCCTGCCGTTCTGGCTAAACACCTGCAGCACAACGGGAAGGAAGGTCCCTCCGGAGCCCCGCCTCCCCTCTCCCCAGGGCAGGGCTCGCTCTGGCTCCGCGTCGCTGCCGGCGAGGGTCCGGTCATGGGCACATTGTGTTTGGGGCGACTTTGCATGAGCCCTGATGTGTTTTTAAGTTCTTCACCCGAGGTTATTTGAGATTCCCACTGGTTTTTAGAGAGCGCAGAAGAGAGAGGGAAAGACAGAGAAATATCGATGTGAGAGAAACACAGCGATGGGCTGCCTCCTGCATGCGGCCCAACCAGGGTCTGGGCCAGGAGGAGCCTGCACCGGAGGTCGTGCCCTTGACCCCAACAGCACCCAGGACCCTCCCATCCGCCGGCCGGAGACCAGCCCTGGCTTTGGACCTGTGTCCACTTTGTCCATTTCCCTCCGGCCAGGTTCCCACCGTCGCAGTGTGACTGCCGCCAGGTCTCCCACGGGCACTGTGGGTGGGGGGGTCCCCTTCTCAGCTCCCCAATTCCAGGCTGGAAGGCTGGTCCCTTCCTGGAAGGCCCAGGAGGGGCTGTCTGCGTGTGGAAGGCATGTGTATGTGTGTGTGTGAGTGTGTATGTGTGTGTGTGTGTGGGGGGGGTCCCGGATGTCCCCGGCAGGTGGGGAGGGGTAAGAGGACTCTCTCCCCAGACCTGTGCAGGAACCTGACCCGCCAGCCCCGTGTCCCCTGCCGTCCCCAGGTGTCGCCACGGGGCTGGCTGGGAGGCGAGTCCAGCTGTTAATGGGTCTGAGCTGGGGGGAGGTTCGCCTCAGTGCTCAGAGCCTAGATTTCCCCGGGGGCAGCTCTGGGAAATTAAATGTTCAAAATGGCCCTGTGATGCTTTAATCAACCTGCTGAGATGGCAGCGGCCCCTCCCAGGGCACTGGGTCCCAGGGGGAGGCCCCTCCCCCAGGCTCGGGCTCAGGGGCGGGAGGGGAGGGGGGGTCAGGACAGGCTCCTGGGTGCCAGCGGCAGGAGGAGGGAGGAAGGTGTGGGCCCAGGTTGGCCTCCAGGAGCCTGGCTCCTCCCAATTCAGACCAGAGGGCCGGCAGGGGCAGCGGAAAGGGGCAGGGAGGAGGGAGAATGAGGGGACTGCCCTAGGGCTTGTCCTGATCTCTGCCCCAGACCAGGGGTGGCACTTGCTCCTGACCCAAGGCCTGGGGGGGGGGGGGACTCTGTGGCCCAGGATGTGTTTATGATGAGCTGGTGTGTGTGTGCGAGGGGGTAGGAGGGAGGTGAGGAGTGGGGAGGAGGGGGGTGTGGAGATGCTGCCACTTGGGGGAGTCAGGGGAGGATCCCAGTGAGTAGGGGCGAGGTAGGGAGGTTCCATGGCCCTCCCTAGTTGCCAGGACGGGTGCAGCCATAGCACCCAGCCAAGCTGTCTTGTCCTGACCCCCGGCGCCCTTTCTCAGTCTTCTCTGCGCCTGGTCGTTTACGCACAGGTCCCACCAAGGCCCAGCTCCCCCGGGAGTGTTCCCCGACCCCTTCGCTCCCCACACCTTTCCCCGGGGCCTAGCTTATTTAGGGGACTCGGCCTCTATGCTCCGCTCTCCCCTAGCAGGCGGCTGGCGCTCTCCGCCTGTGCCCGCAGGGGGCGCCTGAGAGCACAGGAGACCGGCGGGCACAGCGCAAGCAGCAGGAGCGGGGTCCCGGCCTGAGTGTGCAGCCGGGCAGGCAGCGCGCCCCGCCCGTCACTCCGACCTAATGTGGCCGCGCCAGGAGCCTGGGCCGAACCCTCGAGCCGCAGGGGTTCGCGGGGCGGCCCGAGGGTCCGGGTCCAGGGCTGCAGGTGGCTGCGGGATGGGGTTTTGGAGTGTTGCACAGCTGGGCAGAGGTCCCACTGCGCTGCTCTGGGTGCTGGGGGCGTGTGTGTGTGTGTGTGTGTGTGTGTGTGTGTGTGTGTGTGTGTGTGAGGCGGGCCTTGGGGTCCCTAGGCCGAGGCTCCGCGTGGTGCGGGGCTGACAGGGCCTGAGTGGGAGCTCAAGGTCAGTGTGCTCCGGCTCGTCTGCAGGGCCTGGGACCCGGAGGCGCGGAGACTCCGGGACTGATCGGAGGGGGTGGGAGAGCGAAGGGGAGGGGGACGGGCATGCGATGGGCCCCCTGTCGGCAGAGGCTTCCGGCGCCCCGCTCAGCAGCGCGCCCACCGCCTTCCCGGAGCCGCGCGGCCGGGCACCAGGAGGGGCGGGCGGGGCGGGGGATGCGGCCGGCGGACCCGCAGCGAGCGCGGCCCTCGCCCCTCCGGCTCCCGTCCTCGGGCGCGTGCCGGGGCCTGGCGCGCCGCGGGCGGAGGGGGCGCTGTGGGCGCCGGCGGGCGGGGCGGAGCGCGGGGGCGCGCGGCGCGGGCGGAGGAGCGGGCCGGCGGCGGCCGTGCGCTGTGCGGGGGGCGGCGGCGGCGGCGGGCGGAGCCGGGCGGAGCCGGGCGCCTCCGCGTGCTCCGCTCCTATGGCGCTGCCCGGGCCGCCCGAGCAGCCCCGCGGCGCGCCCCGCCGGGCGCCGGGCCTGCTGGAGATGGGGGCGCTGTGCCTGGACTCGGAGATCGTCCTGGGCTTCACCAGCCACCTCCTGCGGCGGCGCGCCAAGGTGAGGGCGCCCGCGGCTCAGGGCGCGGCGCGGGGACGGAGCTCCGGTCCGGGCGGGGGGCTGGCCGCGCCCCCGTCGGTGCCGCCCGGGCCCGCCTCCCGGCTGCGTCCTGGCCGGAGGCGGCTGGCCCGGGCGGGCACCGGGGCGCGGGGACTCCGGGTCCCGCCGCGCCGGGCTGGGCGGGCGAGGCGGGGAGACGGAGGCGGCTCCCCGTTCCTCGGGCGCCCGGCACCTGCGGGGCTGTGTCCCGGCCCTGGGGACCCGGGAGGGCGCGGAGCGTGTGCTCCCCGAGCGCCGCGGCGGTGCCTGTGGGCGACCGAAGTTGCGGGTGTGGCCGGCCCTGGTCTTAGGACGGGGCTCCGGGCCGGTGTCTCCGGGAGCGCGTGTGGGCACCGAGTGTCTGTGTGTGAGTGTGTGTGAGTGTCTGTGTGTGTGTGTGTGTCTGTGTGAGTGTGTGTGTGTGTGAGTGAGAGTGAGTGTGTGTGTGTGAGTGTGTGTGTGTGTGTGAGTGAGTGTGTGTGTGTGTGAGGGTGTGTGTCTGTGTGTGTGCGTGTGTGAGTGTGTGTGTGAGTGTGTGTGTGTGTGAGTGAGTGTGAGTGTGTGTGTGTGAGTGTGTGTGAGTGAGTGTGTGTGTGTGAGTGAGTGTGAGTGAGTGTGTGTGTGTGTGTGGGTTGGGGGGCCAGAGCAGGGGGGGCGGTGCTGTCTGCAGGCAATGGGGTGGGGGCAGCACATTGGTGGGGTGTCCGGGCACCGGGTCCGGTGCTGCTGCCGCCTGTTGTCCTCGGCGGGGCTGTGGACCCGGAGCTCCGGCCAGGCTGGGCGGTAAGGGGCGGGAGGCGGTGGCCTCACTGCGGCGTGGGGAGCCCCTGCCCACAGTGTCCGCCCCCCGCCGCGGACCGGCCGCAGACCCCTCGGTGCCCACACGCGCTCCCCGAGACACCGGCCCGGACGCCTCTCCGGGGAGCACTCCCAGCAGAGGGGCGGGGGCGGAGCCGGGGAGGAAGGCGGCTCCGGGGCGCGGAGAGAAGAGCGCCGCCCCCGCCCCCGAGCGCGCGGGGAGCCGCCCGCAGCCCCGGCCCAGCGCTCCGCGCCCTGGAGCAGCGGCGCCGGCCCCGCTCCAGCCCGGCGGCCGGCAGGGGGCGCCCGCGGCTCGGGAAGGCGGCACCCCGCCCGCCCAGCCCGGCCGGGTTTCGGGCGGACCGGAGCGGGGACCGGGACCCCGCCGCCTGGGACGGCGGCCGCTCCGCGGGCTGAGCCGGAGCGCGAGCAACTGGTCGCCGGCGGAGGGGAGGGGAGGGGAGGGGAGGGGAGGGGAGGCAGGGGACCGCCCAGCCGGAGACAAACAGGCAATTAATTCCGAGCTCAGCGCCCATCTGCCGGCCGGCCGGCCGGGGACAACAGGTCCCGCGCAGCCCGGGCCGCCGCGCCCCGCCCCCCGCGCCCCGGGCGCAGCCGCCCCCGGCCTCCCGCCCCCCGGCCTCCCGCACACGCGCGGCCGCAGACACGCCGGACCCGGGACCCGGCCGGGGCAGCGCACGCCGCGGAGTCACTCGCCGCGCGTGGCCGGGGCCACGCGGAGTGCGTGCACCGGCTTCGCAGGAGGCGGCGGCCGGGACGCTGGGGCCTGGACTCGGCCCCTCCTCGCCCCGCCCCCTCGGTGACTTGGGAAGACCGCCCGGGCCGGGGCGCGGGAGTGCGCTGCGCCTCCGCGGAGACTCGCAGACCCCGTGTCCCCGCAAAAGGGCGGGAAGGCGCCGGGGCGAGCGCGTCCGCGGGTCGGAGAGCGGCCCCCGCCCGCCCCGGGCCCGGCCTCGCCCAGCCGGCCCGGCCGGAGGCGGTGGGGTCCTGGGGCGGGAGGGGCGCGCGCGGGGCGGGGTCCCCTCTGCCCCCCACCGCCGGGCCCAGGGCAGGGCGGGCGGGCCGTCCTCCCAGCGCCCCGCCCCCGGCCCCGCCCCGGCCCGGCCCGCCCGCCCGCCCGCCGCCCGCGCGCTCCCCGCCACTCCGCCGCCCGCGCCGCCAACTCCGGAGCGACCGCGGGCCATGGGGGCGCCGCCGGGCCGGGGCCCGTAGCCGCGCGCCCCGACGCCCTCCCGCGCCGCCATGGGCAGCCGCGGCGGCCCCCCGTGCGCGGCGCGCCCCGCGGTACGGGCCGGGCCGGGCGGGCGGGCGGGCGGGGCGCCGCGGCGCAGAGTTCCAGACCCAGAGGCGGTCGCGGGGTGCGGGGCGCCCGCTGGGGGCTGCGGGCTCCTGCTGGGCCCCCCCTCCGGGCCCCTGGTGTGGGCGGCGGGCCCCAACTTTGCGGAGTGTCCCTGGCCGGCGGGGGGAGGGGGCGGACGCGCCGGGACTGGGGTCCCCGAGCCGGGCTCACGGCCCCTCCGCACTCACTTCCCGCAGGTGGCGGAGGCGGGCCCGGCCCGGGAGCCGCTGCAGCCCCTGGACCTGCCCCCCAGCAGGAGGCGGCCCGCCGGCCCCGCGCAGGACCCGTGCGGCAGCCGCCCTGCCCCCGAGGGCGCCGGGGCCGGCGCCGAGCAGGGCCACGCGGCCGGCGGCGGGGGCTGGTGCCGCCACTGCCACACGAAGCTCGCGGAGCTCAAGCGACAGGCCTGGAAGCTGGTCAGCGGGCCCGGGACGCCCCTCCGGGTATGTGACCCACGGTGCCCGGGTGTGGGCCGGCCCTTCCCTCCGGGCCTCAGTTTCCCGGTCTGCAACCTCCTGTGGGAGTTGGGGGGTGGGAGGGGCGGGGGACGTTGCTGCAGCTGGAGCCGGGTCAGTGTGGGGGGAGAGGGAAGGCGAGGGCAGGGACTCCCCCCAGGCGGGGCAGCTCCTGTCCTGCCAGCAGCGCTGGTGGCCCGGGTGAAGGTGCCCTGGGGGCCTCTGTCCAGGATCTGGAAGTTGCACACCTGGGGCAGGAGGCTTGGAAAGAGGGGGTTCTCCCCCCACCCCCTCCCTGCCTGGCCCCTCCCAGCTCCTTGGATGAGAATTGTGTGTGGGACACACCGCCCATCTGGGAAGTGAGGGGCTGGGCCCCTGGCTTCCCCAGGCTTGGTCTGGGGGTGGGGGTGGGGTGGGGGGCACCCTGCAGCCAATGGGCTCGCGGGGCCTTAGAAGGAGCGGGACCATTGTTCGAGGAACAATGCCCCCGGAAGTTGGCGAAGGGAAGGCGGGGGTCTGCAGAGGAAGCCCTTCCCGGCCTTCAGCCTGGGACGGCCGCCGAGGCCCCACTGAACTAAATATAGCTCCCCGAGGCCGGCTGGGGCGTGCGTGTGTGCGTGTGTGCGTGTGTGTGTGTGTGTGTGTGTGTGTGCGTGTGTCCCCGTGCCTGTGTGTCCCTGTGTGTCCCCGGCTGGGCAGGCCCCTGGGGCAGGCGGTGTGTGTGTGTGTGTGTGTGCGTGTGTCCCCGGTGCCTGTGTGTCCCTGTGTGTCCCTGGCTGGGCAGGCCCCTGGGGCAGGCGGTGTGTGTGTGTGTGTGTGTGTGTGTGTGTGTGTGTGTGTGTGTATGTGAGACCCTGGAGTCCCCGGTGCCGGTGTGTCCCTGTGTCCCCGGCTGGGCAGGCCCCTGGAGGCCGGCGGGGCGTGTGTGTGTGTGTGTGTGTGTGTGTGTGTGTGTGACCCCGGAGTCCCCGGTGCCTGTGTGTCCCTGTGTGTCCCCGGCTGGGCAGGCCCCTGGGGCAGGCGGTGTGTGTGTGTGCGTGTGTGCGTGTGTGCGTGTGTGTATGTGAGACCCCGGAGTCCCCGGTGCCTGTGTTCCCTGTGTCCCCTGCTGGGCAGGCCCCTGGGGCAGGCGGTGGGGTGAGTCTGCCTCCCGCCCTGGGCGCTCTCAGTGGCGGGGGGAGGGGACCTCGCCCGTCCTGGGTGGGCCGGACTCCCCCTCCGCTGTGACGGGGTGCAGCGGTGCCGAGCACTGCGCCAGGAGGCTGAGCCGGGTGGAAGGGAGCTGAGGGGCCTCAGCCCTCCGGAGGGCGTGCTCGGGGCAGACTCCCGGCTTTGCCTGCTTGTGGCCCGCTCCCTGCTCACCCACCAGGCAGACCGGGGCCCCACGCTTTGTTCCTGCTCTGCAGCCCCTCCCCCTTTCCTGTGTCAGACGGGCAGCTCAGGGGCTGGGCTGGGAGTGCTGTCCACCCTGCAGGGTGCTGTGCGGGGCAGGGGGTCCCCTGTCCGCTGTTCGTCTAGAGAGGAGAGGGCAGGGCCACGGCCACGGCCACGGGGGCGCTGAGGCACCTGGGCCACGGGGCCTGGGGCTGTGTCCCTGTCCCGCTGACCTGCAGCCCGGCTGGCCTGCCCGGGCCTCCTCAGGGAGGCGGGAGGCGTGTCCGGATGGACGGACGCACACGCAGCTGCCGCCGCTGGTGGGGAGGGAAGGCTGGGCAGCGGGCGGGGCGGGCTGGCGCACAGACCTGCTTCTAGGAGTTCCCTCAGGAGATGACTTCATGAGGCAGCGCTCAGCCCAGGGGGCCTGTTAGCTCGCTGGTCCCCGGTGCCTGTGTGTCCTGCGGGCTGCTGGGCTCCCGCTGCCGGGCGGCCTGAGACGCCCAGGCTGGTCTCGGGGAGACCCCATGGGCCCCGCCCACCCTCCTGCCAGCGCACAGGTCCCTGCTGTGGGGCCCTGGGCAGGTGCCCCGAGACCCTGGGCCTCCGTCTCCCTCTCTGTGCCCAGGACACGGGCATCCGCTGGGCACGGCCCAGCACCCCTGGCCCTTTGATGTGGCTGGAGGGTCTGTGACGGGCCTTTGGGGGCAAGGTGGGGCCGGCGCGGGGCGGGCGGGTGGGCGGGGGGGGGGTGTGGATCAGAGTGGGCCTGGGTGCAAAGCCTTTGTCTCCTGTGCCGCCCGGTGCTCCCTGCCCGGTGCTCCCCGCCCAGTGCTCCCCGCCCTGTGCTCCCCGCCCGGTGCTCCCCGCCCTGTGCTTCCCGCCCTGTGCTCCCCGCCAGGTGCTCCCCGCCCTGTGCTCCCCGCCCGGTGCTCCCCGCCCGGTGCTCCCCGCCCGATGCTCCCCGCCCGGTGCTCCCCGCCCGGTGCTCCCCGCCCGGTGCTCCCCGCCTTGTGCTCCCCGCCCGGTGCTCCCCGCCCTGTGCTCCCCGCCCGGTGCTCCCCGCCCTGTGCTCCCCTCCCGGTGCTCCCCGCCCGGTGCTCCCCGCCCGTGCTCTCCTGCCCGGTGCTCCCCGCCCTGTGCTCCCCGCCCGGTGCTCCCCGCCCGGTGCTCCCTGCCTGGTGCTCCCCGCCCCGTGCTCTCCCGCCCGGTGCTCTCCCGCCCTGTGCTCCCCGCCTGGTGCTCCCCGCCCGGTGCTCTCCGCCCTGTGCCTGCCTTGGTTTCCCCCTTTGCCCCGTGGCAGCTGACCGCGGCAGGGGGACCAGGCCCTCTGGCCGCCTCTCTGTGACCTCACAGCACAGAGGTCTGGGCCCCCACATGCACCCAGGCTCCCCTCCAGCCCTTCCTCCTGCGCCTGCTGAGTGCACCCCGGGGCAGCCCGGCCAGTCCAGCCCTCCCCCAGCCCACCGAGCCGCAGCCTGCTCCCGGCAGCGTGGGGGCGGGGTCCTGGGGGGATCTGGTCCAGCCGCCACCCAGATGCACTGTGCTGGAGGCGGCTCCTCTGGAGCCCGAGGAGTGACATCCAACATCCGGCACAAGACAGGCGAGGTGTCAATACAGGTGCTGAATTGATTAGCGTCCCCCTGGGCAACGCGATCAATTCTCATTTAGATCAATTCTCATTTAGCGCTTGCGGATCTCCCTTCCCCTCCCCCTCCAGGGTCTGGCAGGGGTCTCGTCCTGCTGCCCCGAGGTGCTCGCTGACCTGGAGGCCAGGCCCCTCCTCCGCTGGCTCCAGGCCCGGCCTGGGGCTGGCGGTCCAGCAGCTGTCCGCTCCCGGGAGGCCTCCCCGCTCTCTCCATGCGCCCACGGCTGTTTCACCGATTTCTCCGGGCGTGGCTGTGTGTGTGCGGTGGGGGGTCCTGGGCCTGCCGTCTGGTGGCTGTGCCGGGGGGGGGGGGGGGGGAGGGGGCAGGGGCGGCAGAGCCAGCTGGCATTGGCCTCGTGCTGCCGGGCAGGTCAGCGTCCCCGCCCCCACCCCAGCTGCTTGGCATCCGGCCTGAGCTGCACCAGCTCCGGGGACCACCCGGAACCAGGGCCGCAGGGCCTGCCTTCGGCTCCGCGGGCACCCGCCGAGCAGGTGCTGGCAGGCTCCGGCAGCGGAGGTGTGAAGGGCGGCTCCCCGGGCTGTCGGGCAGGCTCCCAGCTGGCAGGGGCCGGGGTGACTCAGCCGAGAGGCTCCGGGCTCCCAGGCCACTCGGGGGCCGGCCCTGGCGGGGAGCGGGGCGGCTGGCCAGGCCTGGCTTCCCCGCCGTGTGACCTCCGCCGGCCCCTCCAGGTGGGCCCTGCGCCCCCGGGGCCCACCTTGTCCCCGGCTCCTGTGCTCCCCTCATCTGTGGCTGGTCCCGGGCCTCGGGGTGAGGGCCGTGGGAGTGCCCTCTGGGCCTCAGCTGGGGCGGCGGGGCCTCGGGATGCCAGGCGGGCGGGCGCTGCCAGGAGCTGGTTCTTGGCCGAGGAGCCCAGCTGCCGTCGGGGTGGGCCGAGCAGGGACCTGGGCTCTGACAGGCCTGGCTGTCCCTCTGCTGAGAGGAGGGGGTCAGGGAGGAGGTCACCCCTGAACCTCAGGCTGCTCAGAGCCTGGCCTGGGGGTTTGGGGATTTTTTCCCCATTGTTTTTTGGGGAGAGTGTAGGGGAGGGAAGAGGGGACAGAGAGAGAGGGAGAGAGGGAGGGAAACACCCATGCGAGAGAGACACATCGATTGGTTGTCTCCCACACGCATCCCGTCCCGACTGGGGCCAGGGATTGAGCCTGCAATGAGGTACATGCCCTGGACAGGAATGGACCCGAGACTTGCTGATGCTCTAACCACTGAGCAGCCAGCCAGGGCGAGCTGGGTCTTCTCTTCAATAGCAAGGAGTCTAGTTTCCATTTTCCTTTGCTGCCAGGAGGCTCACAGCTCCACCAGCCACGGCCTGTCTCTGTCCGTAACCTGTCTCAGTGTCCGTGGCCTGTCTCAGTGTCCGTGGAGCCGGTCCCTCCTGCTGGTGCTGATGAGGCTGTGGCTGAGGGTCCTGTCTTTAGTGGGCTGGGTCCCCGGGAGCCGCCGCAGGCTCTGCACAGGAGAGATTGGGACCGTGGGTGTCCCCTCCTGTGGGGGAGGGGTGGGAGCTGATGCTGGGTCACCCTAGTCAGGGTCCAGTGGCAGCGGCCCTCCTTGTCCCCCCCGGGCTCTGCGCTCCGGGCATCCCTCCCTCTCTCCTCCTCCTCTCCCCCTCCCCCCCACCCCCTGCACTGCCGCTGCTTCCGGGGTCTCAGCCTCAGTGAGAGCAGGTCCTTGGACTGACTACCCCGGGTCAGGGGCGCCCGCACGTCTGTGCCACGTGCTGCGGCCGGGGACCCCGCGGCTGGGTGGCTTGAGGGCTGTCTCGGAGGTGCCTGGTGCTCTGTGGGCGGGGAGCGGCTCAGCCAGGCGCCTGGGCTGGCGGATTCAGGGTGTTCATGCCCAGCGCCAGGCCAGGCCGCCCCCCGCCGTGTCCGGGCTCGGACGGTGGCCTCACACCCCTGCGTGGTTCTCCCCTGACCCGCGTTTCCAGCGGAGCGTGCCAGGCACTGGGCCTGCCTCGTGCCCGGCTCGGTGTGGGCTGCAGGATGCCCTCCCAGGGCCACAGCCCAGCACCGGCTCCGGGACCCCGCCAGCCCTTACCCTGGGCCTGTCCAAACCAGGGTGCGTCGGCCAGCCATCTCAGCGTGCCCCCCACCATGGCCGCCCTCGGCTCAGCCAGCCCCTCCCGGCTTGTCCCTGGGGCCCCGCTCCTTGGCCCCATCCCTTCCTCCGCCTCCTACACTTTGAGCTCCAACTCTGCTGTGTGGCCCGAGCCAAGTGCCTTAGCCTCTCTGAACCCCCATCTGTCAAGGGGGCATGCTCCAGGCAGCCAGCAAGTGGGGCAGTTCCCAGGGGTGGGTGTCTGGGGGCCGTGGGAGCCGGGGGCAGCCTGGCGGTGGGGGGTGGGTGGTGCCAGCCCCGGTGGAGGAGTCTGCTGTTGCCACGTCAGAGGGTCACCCCCCGCGCCCACGGTGCTGGGTGAAGTGAGTCTGAGTCCAGGCCCGAACACGCCGAGCCCTCCCCGGAGCGGAGGGGTCCCTGGAGGCCATCTCCTGCCCCCCTCCCCCTCCTCAGGGAGGCCTGTGCTCTGGCCTGCAGCTCCGGGCCTTCAGTGCATGGGGCAGAGGACAGGGGCCCCATTGAGGAGAGGGGTCTCAATGCACCAGTGTGTGCCCTGCGCCCGGCCGGCTGGCACAGGGCCGGGGGGCCGGTGCTGGTCAGTGCTGGGCGGGCTGGGCGGCGCCCCGGCAGAGGGACCTGGGTCAGCCCCGGGCTCGGCCTCCGGCTGAGGGGCTGGATGTGGGACAGGGAGCCTGGCTGTGGGCAGGGCGGCCGCTCTGGGTCTCGGGGTCCGTGGAACCGGCCTCGGGCGGGCGGCAGGGCCTCGGGCTGGCCCTGGTGAGATGCCGGTGGGAGGGAGGGGCCGGGGCCGCCCAGAGGCCGGCCACAGGCAGGCGGTTTCCAGCTGGAAAACAGCCCTGACCCCTGACCTGCCCCAGCCCGGCCCGGCTGCACGCGACATCGGAATGTCCTCAGGCCTGGACCGCAGTCAGGGGCGGGGCTGGCCGGGGCAGGGGTCCTTCCTGGACCTGTTGTCAACTCCGGAAGCAGCGGCTGCGGGGTCACTGCTGGCTCTGCTCTCTGCTCGCTGTGCTGGGGGGAGGGGGGCAGGGGCTGCGCTGGGGGGAGGGGAGGCAGGGGCTGAGCTGGGGGGAGGGGGGCAGGGGCTGAGCTGGGGGAGGGGGGCAGGGGCTGAGCTGGGGGGAGGGGGGCAGGGGCTGAGCTGGGGGGAGGGGGGCAGGGGCTGAGCTGGGGGGAGGGGGGCAGGGGCTGAGCTGGGGGGAGGGGGGCAGGGGCTGAGCTGGGGGGAGGGGGGCAGGGGCTGAGCTGGGGGAGGGGGGCAGGGGCTGAGCTGGGGGGGAGAGGCAGGGGCTGAGATGGGGGAGGGGGCAGGGGCTGAGCTGGGGGGGGAGAGGCAGGGGCTGAGCTGGGGGGGGGGCAGGGGCTGAGCCTGGGGGGAGAGGCAGGGGCTGAGCTGGGGGAGAGGCAGGGGCTGAGCTGGGTGGGAGAGGCAGGGGCTGAGCTGGGGGGGAGAGGCATGGGCTGAGCTGGGGGGAGAGGCAGGGGCTGAGCTGGGGGGAGAGGCAGGGGCTGAGCTGGGGGGAAGAGGCAGGGGCTGAGCTGGGGAGGGGGCAGGGGATGAGCTGGGGGGGAGAGGAGGCAGGGGCTGAGCTGGGGGGAGGGGGGCAGGGGCTGAGCTGGGGGGAGGGGGGCAGGGGCTGAGCTGGGGGAGGGGGGGCAGCGGCTGAGCTGGGGGGAGAGGGACAGGGGCTGAGCTGGGGGAGGGGGCAGGGGCTGAGCTGGGGGGAGAGGCAGGGGCTGAGCTTGGGATGGGGGTAAGGCAGAGGGGCTCCCAGGGAGGACCGTAGCTTGGACCCAAGCTCACCCCCCCCCCTCTCGGGCGCTCCTCCCGGCTGGGCACCCGGACCGTTTGCCCCCCCGGGGCCCTCCCTCTGGGTTCTGGGCCCCTTTCTAAAGACGGGTGATGGGATGGGAGAGGGTGTGCCGCAGCCCTGAGGTCTGGGGCTTCTCTGGGCTGGGGCCCGGCCCCCTCTGTCCCTCTCCGTGGCCTCGGTGGGTGTGGTCAGCTCCAGGGGCCGGGCTGGGAGCCCGTCTGGCCAGCTGGGAAGGTGGAGGGATCAGAGCAACTTAGAGACCCAGGACCGGCTGGCCAGCACGGTCACTCTCGGGGGGCTGGCTCCCTAACACCGGGTGGCCTGGGGGTAGGGGTGCACGAGGCTAAATTGAACCAAATTAAGAAAAACATTCTCAAATGCGAGTGAAACATCTGCTCAGTCAGGTCACAGGAGGAGATGAGAAGTAACATTTGCAGCAGTGACGACTGTCTTTCTGAGGTGCCGGCCTCCTGGGGGGCGGGAGTTTGGGGGATTAGGGGTGGGGATGGGTGACGGGCCCACCCTGCGGGGCACTGCCCGGAGGCTCAGGGTGGGCTCACATGGTCCCAGGCAGGTCTGGGGGGGCTGCTCTGAGTGTGGCCTGAGACAAAGGGGAGAGCTGGCCCCTGCTCAGGGCCGGGCCACAGCCAGGCCTGCAGCCAGGGGGGCTGTGCGGGGGCTGGCTTTGATCATGCCCCCCCCCCCCCGCCCCGGCCTGAGGCTGTCAGGGAAGGGCTGGTGGGAGTAGGCGGGGTGTGGGGAGACCAGGCTGCCCCGTCTGTCTTTCTGCTCCCCACTCTCCAGGGCCTCTGATTAGTGCCCAGGCCTGGTGGGCGGGGCCTGCTGACAGCTGCTGTCTGAATTCCTCACACACAGCTGGGGGCGGGGTGGGGTGGGGGCGGGTGGGTGTGCTGCTCTGGCTTCCTGTCGCCTCCCCGGGGCCTGGCGGCTTGCAGTGGGTTCCCGGGTCCGCGCCCCGTCCTGCCTCCTCCGGGTGCCCGTGGAGGGGGCTGGGGCGCCCCTAGGGGCCCAGGTCCCTGAGACAGGCCGAGGCCGGGAACAATGGCTGCGGGGCCGGCGGGCAGGGGCTGGGCCGCCTTTCAAGTCGGGTTAATGGCTCTAGCAGGCACTTCCTTCCCCTCGCCCCGCCACCACCCGTGGCCTCCCGCTGAGTGGAAAAACCAGAGTAATCAGAGCCAGGACCTGGGAAATGGGGGGCGTGCCGCGTCTGGATTCCATCTGGGGCCCGAGCCGTTTCCATGCCCCCCCCATGCTCTCGTCCCCCTCCTGCCGCCCCCCACGGAGGCCGCCCAGCCAGGCTCCCGGCTCCCAGAGGCTCCGGCTCGGCCTCCCAGGCCTCCCCTGGCCCGGTCAGGCTCCGGGGGGGGGGGGGGGGCCTCTGTGGCCAGCAGGGCAGCTGGGCTCGCGGGCCATCGCTCGGGGGTGTGGCCAGTGGTGAGCAGGGTGCCTGTGGCCAGGGAGGAGGGAGGCCGGGGCTGCGGTGGGGGGAGGGCCCGGGGTCCGGGCCGGCTGGGTGGGCCATGGGGCGGCCAGCTGGCCGGCTGGGAGACGGCCGCCTTCAGGATCCGTCTGCTGGGTCAGCGCTGGGAGGCCCGGGTGGGCGAGGCCGTGTCTGCTGGAGGGTCTGCCCCCGGGCCCTCTGGTCGGAGCTCAGCCCTGGGGAAGGGGCTCAGACCCGGCCGCCCCCACAGCCCTGGGCGGTGGTGAGTAGTCGGGTGGGGGTGGAGGAGCAGAGTGGGCCCTCCAGTGAGGATCGTCTGGTCAGAGGTGGCACTTCCTCCAGGAAGCCCCCCTGACCTCCGGGCTGGGCAGGGGCCTCCTCGGCCCGCCTGCTGCTGTTCTTAGCCCTCTCTGACACCAGGGGCGGGGCAGCCGCCTCTCAGCACGGCCCCCGAGTGGGCCTGAGCCCTGCCGCCCGCCTCCCTGCGCTGGTGCTGGCGCTGGCGGCCCCATTTCATCTTCCTCCCGGGCGCCAGGCCCACCCGCCCGGCTGGTCCCGGGAAGCCCCTGTGGCTCTGGACCAGACGGGACTTCCCACGGGGGCCCTGGGGCGCTGACCCTGGACGGCCCGGGGCCCGTGGCATCTGCCCGGCTCTGCGGCCTCCTGGCTGCTCCTCAGCCGCGTGGCCTGGTGGTCGGGGGCACGCAGACGCCTCGTTAGGAGCGGGCAGGGGGCCGGGCGGGCACCTGGGCCTGTGACTGCTGTCCTGCAGGGCGGGCGCAGGGAGGCCGTCCGGGCTGGTCAGTCGGTTACGGATGAGGCTCTGACCACTGTCCCTTTTTCCCCAGGACCCTTGCCTCTCGGCCCTGCTGCTGGACAAGCGCCCGGGGCCCGGGGCCCCGCCATCCTGCCCCCCGGAGGCCGAGCGCCGCTGCACCGTCTGCTCCGCCCACCTGCACCCGCTCACGCGGGAGGCCCTGCGGCTGCTGCCGGCGCCCGCCGGCCGGGAGCACCCCGACGCCCCCCACGGAGGCCCTGGCCCCATGACCGGCCTGAGCGATGGGCCCGTGGTGGCCGGCCCCCCCGGGAGGCCGCCCGGCCGAGGGGGGCCGGACAGGAGGAAGGAGCCGGCCTGGGCTGCGGGGCCCAGCGTGCAGGTGTCTGTGGCGCCGGCCGGCCTGGGCGGGGCGCTGAGCACGGTCACCATCCAGGCCCAGCAGTGCCTGGAGGGCGTGTGGAGCGTCTCCAGGGTCAACAGCATCCTGCCCCCGTCCTGCCTGGTGAGTGCCCGGCGGCTGCGGCCCTGGCTGCCAGGCGGGGGGTTCGAGCCGGGTTCCCTCCCGGGGGGGCCGTGTTCCACGCCTCACCGGTGGTGCCGGGCCGTGGGCATGGGGCGGCCCGAGCCAGCCCTGAGGCCACCAGTCTGCCCGCCAGGCCACGGTGGGTCCGCACAGCGCCAGGTGGGGGCGGTGGGGGCACTGGGGCTGGTGGAAGCCCGTGGCCCCCTGGGACGAGGCCAGCTCCTGTCCTCGGGGTTGGGGGCGGGCACACGTTCCCGCATGAGGAGGGTCCCAGTGGCCCCCCCCAGCTCTCCTGCCAGGCCAGGCTGCCCGAGGGCGTGGCCGGGGGACCCAGACCTGCCCGGACGGGACGTGAGCGGGTGCAGGGGGCTCTGGGCCGCTGCCACGCGGCCTCTTTTCAGTCGTAGCGGATGCCTGTCCCCCGGCCCCCGCTGGCCACCAGGCCGTCCCTGCAGCAGGGGCGTGGCCTCGGGAACCAGCCCGGCACCCCCGGGGCCAGGGACCTGGGCCTGTGTTCCCGGGGAGGCCCTGCCCGGGTCAGTCGCAGGCCGAGGTGAAGCCGCTGGGGTGGGGTGGGGAGGGGCAGGTACCCGGCGTTCCCAGGGCACGGCGCGCTGCTGGCGCGGCTTCTCCGGGTGTCCTCTGTGCCCCGGGTTCCAGGAGAAGGGGTGCCATGGGCGTCAGGAGAGGAGGGCTGAGGGGACAGGGCTGGGGAGGGGAAGAGGAGGGACCTGGGCTGCACAGCTGTGTGCAGGGCCACGGGGAGCCCCCGGGCAGAGGGTGGCGTGGAACATCGCTCGGTGCTTCTCAGACCACAGGCCGCCCACAGGCTCGCCCGGCCGGTGTCTGAGGTGGGGCCGCGGGCAGGCGTCTGCCGCCGCCGGTGTGCCCGGGGGCTGTGCCCGGCGGGCTGCGGGGCACCAGGGCAGGTCCAGCGACTGGCAAAGCCCGTCCAGTCTCAGTGCCTTCCCCCCCGGCCCCAGGCTCCGGCTCCTCTGAGGTCAGCAGGATGGGGATGGACGTCAGCGTGGCTGGGGGGTCTTGGCCTTGCTGGGCCTCGGCCCCGGGCCACGGCTGTCCTGAGCCCTGCGCCCGGCGGCTTGGGGACGGGGCGTGGACAGCCATGGGGAGAGCGGGGCCTGAACCGGCCTCCGTGGGGACGAGGCGCCCAGGGCCGGCGTGGCAGCGTCCTCCCCTCCCGCAGTCTGTGGGCGAGGCCGGCCCGGGCGCTGGGTCACTCGGGAGGGATGTGCCCGCAGCAGCGCCAAGGCGGGGAAGCAGCTCAGGAGGGCTTCCTGGAGGAGGTGGCGTTGGTCTGGGCCCAGAGGGAGGTGCCGGAGAGAGTGGCCCAGTGCAGGGTGTGTGGGGACGTGGAGGCCCCTGGAAATAGTCGGGGGGCTCCGGACCCGGGGGAGCCACGTGCCCGTCTCGCCGGGGCCTCCAATCCAGGCGGAAAGGGCTTGGGGTTGCTCTCGGGGCGCCCCGGGCAGAGGGGGGTCGTGAGCTGCAGTGGGGGGGTTGGTGTAGCCGGAGTCCACCCCGGGGGGGTCACTGCCCAGCCGGCAGCCTGCCCGTGGTCTCTGCCCCATAACGCGGGCATTTACGGCCCCTGACCATTTACGGTGCATCGACCGCCTCCTGGGGGGGAATGGACTTACAATTAGGCGGCAGCCCTGGTGGTCGATGGGGGATTATCAGAACCATAAAGAGGACGTGAGGACTCCGATGAGGTGATTTCCCCTGAGCCAGGGCAGCGGTCGTCGGCGGTGGCCCTGGGACTGGGCAGTGGCATTGAACCCTTCGGGGGGGCGTGCTGTGAACCCCAACAGGGCCCGTCACACGGGGCGCACAGGGGTCTTGACTGGTGGGGACCCATCTGGCCCCGGGTGGGGAGACCGGGCAGGAGGGCAGGGGGCGCTGGAGGAGGTGCCGGCCCTGGCCGGAGGGGTGGTCTTTGGAGGTGGGACCCAGGGCTCCGAGGGCCCAGGAGCCGGCCCTGTGGCCGCCGGAGTCCAGCTGTGGGCTCGGCCATCTGGGGAGCCACGTCCGGGTGAGGCAGCCCTCGGGCACCCAGGGCCTCGGTCAGACCGCAGCCGGGACCGCTGTCCATGGCTCAGAGCTCGGCCCTTCGGGGCCTTCCACTTCCCGAGGGTCGGGCGTGGCTCCTGGCGTCTCCCAGACCCGTGGCCGGCAAACTGCGGCTCCCGAGCCACACGCGGCTCTTTGGCCCCTTGAGTGTGGCTTTTCCACCAAATACCACAGCCTGGGCCAGTCTGTTTTGAAGAAGTGGCGTTAGAAGTTTAAATTAAAGAAGTTTGACTCTCCAAATAAATTTCAATCGTTGTGCTGGTGATATTTGGCTCTGGTGATGAATGCGTTTGCCGACCACTGTCCCAGACTGTCAGACGCCCGTCGCCCGCACAGCTGCCTGAGGGTGCGGGCAGTGGCCACGGGCCACCCCAGCCCCCTGCCCAGCCCACTCCCCGGGGCACGCCGTGGACTAGTGTGTCCCCGTGCCCACAGCGGCCCTGCGCTCCGGGCGCCGGATGAGCTTTGGCCTCCGCCCCCCAGAGGCTGGAGCTCACACAGCAGGAGAGGGGAGGGACACGTGGCTGGCTGCTGCCCGGGCCAGGCCGACGGGCCAGGCAGACCTTCCGAGTCCCATGGGTGCAGGTCAGGTCCTGCCTGGGGTCCCAGGGCCCACCGTCGCGGGAGGACCTGGAGCGGAGGGTTTCCGGCCGGCGACCGGCCGGAGCCGGTGGAGGCCGGGCCCGGATGGGGGGAGGGGGGAGGGCTCCCTGGAGGAGGGGCCGCATCAGCTGTGACTGCTGGTTGAGAGGGGAAGTCACTTTGGTGGAGGCCCAGGAGGAGGCAGGGTTTTCCTCTTCCCTCGGAGGTTGGGGGCACAGGCTCGGGGCGTCCCTCCTGCTGCACCCCATGCCAGCCTGCTCGTGCCCCTGCCTCTCGGTGAGCCCTGGCAGGGTCCTGGCGGGCGCCCACCGTCCTCAGGGCTGTGGCTGGGACGGTGGGGTGTGATGGGCTGTGTGTGGGTTCCGGTCTGCCTCTCCAGTGTGACCCATTGCTGGCGCCCCAGTCTGGGCCTCAGTTTACCCAGCCTGCGGGACCATCCCTGCTGGGGGCCCTCAGGGTGACCAGGCGGAGCTCTGAGGGAGCAGCCGGGGCTGCCCCATGGGCCCCGTGCCTGGCAGACGCCCCCTGAGCGGTGCCACACTGCCCTGTGCGGGGCTGATTCTGTGCCTGCGAGGTCCCTTTGGCTGCCCCTTAGGCCCTGCCCCTCCTACCCCCTCCCGGCCCGAAGGACCCCCGGGGGTGTGGACGGTGCCCGCTGCCCTTCTCAGACCAGAACCAGACCCAGGTGGACGTCGGGCCTAGGGGCCCCCTAGGAAGTGGCTTAAAGCATGGTGTTTCCCAAACGGTGTTCCGTGGAACCTCAGCACCCCTGTGGGCACCCGGAGGCCTGGCTGGCTCGGCAGGCCCCTCGGACGTGGCCTCACTCTCTCCGCTCTCCTCTCGCTTTTCTTTCGTTGCTGCCCGGCTCCTCCATCACATCTTCTGTTCGGCCCCGCCCACCGCCCCCCCACTCCCCCCCACCTCCCTTCCCCGTGTTTTGGTCCCCCCACCCCTCCCCGGCTTCTTTTGGCGTGCCCGGCTCTGCTTCTGGCAGGAGGCGGCGGCTGTGCCAGGGGCCGGAGCCGTGTCCCGGCAGCTCGCCCGGCAGCGGAGCCGAGGCAGGCGGGACGCCCGGACAGGTCAGTGTGGGCCCGGCCGCGCAGGCACGCTGGGCTGCCTCCCGGCGGGAGGCGGAGGCGCCGCGGGAGCCGGCGGCACGGCTGGGCCCGTGGGGGCTGGGGACTGGAGGGCGGGTGCGGCCCTGCACCTGCCCTCTGACCCGCCGGCCTGGGCTGCGGGCGTGGGCCCTCTCCTGGGGCCGGTGGGAGCTGGTGGGCACCGGGGCCCCGGCCGCGGTGGGTCTCCGTCCGGCCAGCTCTGCCCTGAGCAGCCCAGGCCCGGGGGTGAGGCTGGCGTGACGCAGCCCTCGGCCTTGTCTGCACACCCCACCCCTGGGCGGGGGCCGGGGGCTCTCGCCAGAGCTCATGCTCGGTGCCCAGGCCAGGGCCTGCCTGACCCTCCTTCTGGAACGTTCCTGTCCGTCCACTGTGTCCGCAGCCCCTTTCCCTCCGGTGTGGGGCCCGCCCCCAGCCTGGGCGGGTCTGTCTGCTGTGTCCCCTCCAGGCTGTGCTCTCGGAGGTCAGGTGTATGGAGCACCCACCAGGTGCGGGGCAGGGTGCAGGCGCCTCCGGGGCCTCCTGCCCAGCTCTGGGTGCCCGTGAACGTGGAGAGAACGGCAGAGGGGGGCTGGGCAGACAGCGGTGGGAGCTGAGGAGAGGGCCGGGCTCGGGCGGGGAATGGCCCTGAGTGGGGAGGGCGGGCTCGGGGGAGGCGAGGTCGGTGGCGGGGCCCGCAGGCTGGCACATTGCCCCCCGGTGAGGGCCTGGGCTGCCCAGGTGTGTCGTGTCTGCCCTCAGGGAGCCCTGGGGGGCGGTGGAGCCTCCAGACGGGTGCTTGGCTCTGGGAGCTTCCCGTGCAGCCTGCTTTCTCTCTGAGCCTGGAACGGGCGCAGTGAGGCCCTCCCCCTCAGTGAGGAGCAGGACCTTCTTCCAGAACATTCCTCCCGGCCCATGTGTTTTATTCTGCTGAGGTCCCGTCCCCCACCCCGGCCTCTGGCTGTGTCCCTGGGCAGACCCTCCAGGGCTGGTGCCACCGGGTTCTCACCGAGCGGCCTGCGGGGTCCTCACCGGGCAGCGGGCGGAGGCTGCTGCCGGCACAGGGGCCCGGGGCCGGCCCGCGGTGTGCAGAGACACGGCCGGCGGGCCTCCAGGTGGCTGGCGCCGTCCCCCGAGCACGTAATCGCATTTGTGCCTCATTACGAGGCTGTCCTCCGCCCCGGGATTTATTTTAGCTAATTAGCGGAAATGCCAGGCTAGTATTTCAGCACAGAGCCTCATACATTACCGTCCGAGGGCCATTAGCGCTCCTGACGCATATTTATCGCCGTGCCTCCTCTGAGGACGCGTCCGGCGCCCCCAGACGGCCGGACGGCCGGTGAGGGGCCGGGGCCCGTCCCTCTGTCCGTCCGTCCTGCCGCCTGGCCACGCCCTCCGGGACCCGATGGAGGAGGGGCTGCGGGGCCGGGCCCCGGGTGGGCACCTGCCCCTCCCTGGGGCGCTCGTCCCTGGGGCCGAGCGCCTGGTGCCCTGAGCTGGCGGGGTGGTGCGGGCCGGGGGGCGGGGGGGGCCGGGCCGGGTGGTGGTGCCCTGAGCTGGCGGGGCTGTGTGGGCCGGGGGCCCGGGGCCAGGGGCCGGGCCGGGGGGTGGTGCCCTGAGCTGGCGGGGCTGTGTGGGCCGGGGGCCCGGGGCCAGGGGCCGGGCCGGGGGGTGGTGCCCTGAGCTGGCGGGGCGGTGCGGTCCAGGGGCCGGGGGCCGGGGGCCGGGCCGGGGTGGCGGAGCGCGTGCCGCCTGGCGGCCGTCCCTCAGGAGGCTCTCTCCCGCAGGCGGAGGCGGCGGTGGCCGCGGTGGCGGTGGCAGACTCGGTCCGCGACGGCCCTCCCTCCGGGGGCCCTGACGGGGTGTCCCGGCTGTGGGGCCGCGGGGGGGCCTGCACCACCGCCCTGGTCTCCCCGGCCCCCGGCCCCCCCGCGGCGGGCCCGGCTGCGGCCGCCTCCTTCTTCGTCAGGTAGGTGCTGTGGGGCCCCCCAGACGGGAGCTGGTGGGGAGGGGGTGGAACGGGGCCGAGGGAGCATCTGCGGGGACCGGCAGGGCTGGGGTGAGCGGGGAGGGTCCCGGAGGGAGGCTGGCACGGGTGCGGCCCAGCCCCACAGCCAGGAGCCGGGTCCCTGTTCGAGGCCCAGGCCCTGGCGTGTGGGCGCCACTGGGGCCCGGGGCTGGCTGTCTGGTCCTGGGGGACCAGCGGGGAGGCCTGCCTGGCGGGGGCGCTGGGTGGGAGGCAGGGGCCAGCCTTTGCCCTGCGGCTGCGGGGCGGGAGTGGTGAGGAGCCCAGCACGGCCCTGTCTGATGAGCTGGCCGTGAATCCCGCACGGCGGTGGGGCTGGTGCCCTCCTGGGGCCCAGGGTGCATGGCCTGACGGGGTGGGGGGTGATGAGGGTGTCTTTGGGGCTCAGGGCCTGCCACCCTAGAGGCTGAGATGGGGCTGGGACTCTGGGCGTGGGGGACAGGCCTCCCCCTAGTCTGCCTGGCCGCGGGCAGCAGGCCCGCCAGGCGAGGTGGTCGGGAGCCACGGGACCGTCTGGGAGGCCGGGTGTGGGGGCTGCGCCGGCTCGTTACAGACCTGGCCCCACCGCCGCCTTTTGTCTGGAGCCCACGAGGCCGCGCTGACCTTGGGGGGTTGCCATAGAAACTGGCACCGCGGCGGGGGTGCGGCCCAGCCCCACAGCCGGGAGCCGGGTCCCTGTCCGAGGCACCTCCTGAATCTAGAGGCTCAGCGGGGTGGGGGTGGGGGGCCCGGCAGCCTCAGGCAGCGCCGCCCGGTGTCTGCCCGCTGCTGGGCACCAGGGTGGGAGGGCGGGGCCGAGGGTGCCCGCCGCCCGAGGATGTGGGCAGTGCCAGCCGGGCGAGGGCTGGGCGAGGCCCCCCGGCTTCGGGGTTCTGTCCCCCGAGTCCCCGAGGGCAGATCCCGGCCCTCAGGGCCTGCGGGGGCAGCTCCCGGGGGCATGGCCGGGTCCGCAGCCTGGTGCCCGCCCTCAGGCGGCCCCGGCTGGCCCGGGGCGGACCCACGCCGGCCGGAGCTGCCCGCGTGTCTGCGGCGAGTCCGGGCCCCGCTCCCCGCGCCCAGCGGCCTGCCTGCCGGGACATTGCCTTCCTTCCGGGCAGACGTAACGTTTCTCTAAAACGGCGAAGCGTGTCTCTGTCCGTCCGCTGCGTTGGGACCAGGCTGGCGAGCGGGGAGAGGTGTCCCGGCTGGCAGCGGGGCGGGTGGACGGTCCGGGGCGAGTGGGGAGAGGTGTCCGGCTGGCAGCGGGGCGGGCGGACGGTCCGGGGCGAGTGGGGAGAGGTGTTGGCTGGCAGCGGGGGCGGATGGTCCGGGGCGAGTGGGGAGAGGTGTCGGCTGGCAGCGGGGCGGGCGGACGGTCCGGGGCGAGTGGGGAGAGGTGTCGGCTGGCAGCGGGGCGGGCGGACGGTCCGGGGCGAGTGGGGAGAGGTGTCCGGCTGGCAGCGGGGCGGGCGGACGGTCCGGGGCGAGTGGGGAGAGGTGTTGGCTGGCAGCGGGGCTGGCGGACGGTCCGGGGCGAGTGGGGAGAGGTGTCGGCTGGCAGCGGGGCGGGCGGACGGTCCGGGGTGAGTGGGGAGAGGTGTCCGGCTGGCAGCGGGGCGGGCGGACGGTCCGGGGCGAGTGGGGAGAGGTGTTGGCTGGCAGCGGGGGCGGATGGTCCGGGGCGAGTGGGGAGAGGTGTCGGCTGGCAGCGGGGCGGGCGGACGGTCCGGGGCGAGTGGGGAGAGGTGTCGGCTGGCAGCGGGGCGGGCGGACGGTCCGGGTGAGTGGGGAGAGGTGTCCGGCTGGCAGCGGGGCGGGCGGTCCGGGGCGAGCGGGGAGAGGTGTCCGGCTGGCAGCGGGGGCGGACGGTCCGGGGCGAGCGGGGAGAGGTGTCCGGCTGGCAGCGGGGCGGACGGTCCGGGGCGAGTGGGGAGAGGTGTCCGGCTGGCAGCGGGGCGGGGCGGATGGTCCGGGGCGAGCGGGGAGAGGTGTCCGGCTGGCAGCGAGGGCGGACGGTCCGGGGGGAGCGGGGAGAGGTGTCCGGCTGGCAGCAGGGGCGGCGGACGGTCTGGGGCGAGTGGGGAGAGGTGTCCGGCTGGCAGCGGGGCGGGCGGGCGGCCAGGAGCCCGCACTCACTCCCAGCCGCGCCCGCCTGGCTCCGTCAGAGCCGCTGCCTGAGGGTGGGGGCGCAGCCATGTGGCCAGAGCTCAGGGCAGGAGGTTCCGGCATCGCCCGGGCATCAGGGCGGGCTTCCTGGAGGCGGCGTCCCAGGGACCCTCGGGCTTTGTCTGTAGGTGCAGGTCCTGCTTTTCTGTCTTCCCTGCGAGCCAGGCCCCTCAGACTGCCGTCCGCCCCCCGGCCCCCGCACTCCTCTCCCCCAGCACTGCTCACGCCTGCGGGTCCCCGCTCAGGCCTCCAGCTGTGCAGGGCCGTTCATGCCCCGCCTCCACCCCCGCTGCTCAGAGCCCAGGTCTGTGTCCCCAGAAGGCGGGGGCCCTCGAGGGCAGCAGGCCTGGCCCCGCAGAGGGTCCCCCGCAGGCTGGGCCACAGTGCCCTCGACCCCAGGCCCAGGGCACAGGGCCTGGCTGGCATCACAGGAGAGGGCGCCTCTGCCCGGCACTCAGTGACGCCCCTCTGACCCGGGTGGTGACGGAGCCGTGGGAGCCGGGCGGGGGCCGGGCAAGCGGGCGCACCGCCCTCAGCCTGCAGGCCTGGGGGGAGGGCACCCTGAGTGAGGTCACCCGTGGGCGGAGACGCCGACACTGGCAGGACCTCAGAGGATCGGCCTGGTCTGCGCAGGCAGGGCCTGGGCGTGTGGGGGGAGGTGAGGTGGGGGGTTAGGTGGGGGGACACCTCCCGGCGCTGCAGGCTGGGCCGAGGGGCCGGGGCGAGGGCTGTGCCCAGCTCCTGGCCCCGAGGCTCCCAGAGGGTCGGAGCCCTCGCCTCGCTCGCGCCCGCCTGCCCGGTCCTGGCCTCTGTGGACGGGAGGCCCGTGTCCCCTGGTCTCCCCGTCGGCCAGGGGTCCCCTGCCTCCTGCCCCGAGGCTCGGGCTGTGGGTTCAGGGTGCTCTGTCCCTTAGCCTCGGCGTCCCCGGCCGGCCCTGGTGAGCCTGGGGCGCAGGGACCCGCTGTGGGGCTGGGGGCACACTGCCCCCTGGCTGTTGGCCGACCTGGCACGCCGGCCTGGGAGCCGAGCCGATGCTGTGCGGGCGGCCCTCAGGGTGGGCACCACTGCCTGGGCACGGCGGGCGAGGAGGCCCCGGCTCCCCCACAGCTGCCCATCCTCCCCAGGGCAGGGCGGGGCCACAGTTCCTACCCTCTCTGACCCCCCCTCAGGGGGGTGGTGGGAAGCTGCAGCGAAACCCATGGTGGCTGGGGTCCCGGGCAGGGAGCCGGGCTGGGCACTGGTTGGGCAGGGGGAGCCCCTGAGCTGAGGTTCTGGGGGGAATGGCCGACTCCCCCTGCCCAGCCCAGGTCTCCTTAGTCCCACCTGCCCTGCTAGCTACACTCCGCCCTGACCACTCACTGCCAGCGTGCTCAGCAGCCGCCCCGCCCACTCCCCGTGCTCAGGCCAGGCCCAGGCCTCCCTCTGCCCTTGACTTGTGTGTGGCCGTCCAGCAGGGGGGCGGGGCGGGGCGGCTCCGGGGGGGGGGGAGGCTCAGGGGGGGAAGGCTCGGGGGGGCGGGGAGGGACGGAGGGGGGGGAGGCTCCGGGGGGGGCGGGGAGGGACGGGGCGGGGTGGCTCGGGGGGGGGCGGGGCGGCTCGGGGGGGTGGGAGGCTCAGGGGGACGGGGGGCTCCGGGGGACGGGGAGGCTCCCGGGACGGGGCGGGACGGGGGGCGGGCGGCTCAGGGGCTCTGTGTGCAGCAGGCTCGGCCGGAATCGGCTGATGTCTGCTGTGGCCGGGGCACCCCGTGTGGTCTGGGCCCCAGATGAGCCCCGTGGGGTGCACTCCGCCCCCCCCCGGCCCCGCCCCTGCGATTAAGCCGCCAGCGTCATCGCTCAGTTTTATTTCCCGTGATGACACCTGGCTGGGAGGAAAGCATCCCCGGGGCCTCTTAAAGACAAGCCTGTTACAGACGAGGGCCCGCCAGCACACGGTCCGTCTTACCGAGTGGGAGCGCGGGTGCCGGGCAGCAGAGGGGGCCGGGGGCCGGGGGGCCGGGCAGCAGAGGGGGCCGGGGGCCGGGGGGCCGGGCAGCAGGGGGGGGCCGGGGGCCGGGGGGCCGGGCAGCAGGGGGGGCCGGGGGCCGGGGGGCCGGGCAGCAGAGGGGGGGGCCGGGGGCTCAGGCAACAGAGGAGGGTCCGGGGGGCTGGACAGCAGAGGGAATGGGCTGGCGGCTGGGACCAGAATGGTGGGCAGCAGAGGGAGTGGGCTGGGGGCTGGGACCAGAATGGCGGGCAGCAGAGGGAATGGGCTGGGGGGCCGGGGGCCCGGGGCAGCAGAGGGGGGGCTGGGGGGCTGGGCAGCAGGGGGGGGCCGGGGGCCGGGGGGCCAGGCAGCAGAGGGGGAGGCCGGGGGGTCAGGCAACAGAGGAGGGTCCGGGGGGCTGGACAGCAGAGGGAATGGGCTGGGGGGCTGCGGGGCCCGGGGCAGCAGAGGGAGGGGCCGGGGGGCTGGGGGGCTGGGGGCCGGGCACCGCAGGGAGACCCAGTCAGCACACGGGGCCCGGGGCCTGTGAGTGGCCGGCGGGTCCTGCTCCCCCAGCAGCGGTGGGGCTGGGACACGGGGCAGGTCTGGGGCAGCGGGCGGGTGGGGAGGGGCACCTGGCCAGGCCCCTGCTGCCCCGGGAGGCGTGGCGTGGGCGGCAGAGGCTTTGGCCGCCGATGGGACGGCTCTGAGCCCCCGCCCCGCCCCCAGGGCCGCCCAGAAGCTCAGCCTGGCCAAGCGCAGGAAGCCGCCCCCGCCGCCCGCGCCCGCCGCCCGCGCCTCCCCGTTCCCCACGGACTTCAGCGGCGCTCTGCAGCTGTGGCCGCCGCCCGCGCCCCCCTGCCTGCTCAGGGCCGCCGCCCAGGCCAAGGACCAGCCGGGCGGCCCCGGAAAGGTAGGCCTGGGCGTGACCGGGCCCCGGCGGGCTGCGCCTCCTCCCGCCGGTACCAGTGGGGACACTGAGGCCCGGGCCAGCCCCGTCGGCTCCGGCTGGTGGCACGGAGCCCTGTGGGGTCGCCCTGGCGGTGTGGGCACCTTGGTTCCCGGCCTCCGCCCCCGCCCCGAGGGCCGGGCCAGCCTCCGGGACGCCGGCTCCTGTCGGGGACACGTCTCTGCATCTGGTTCTCGTGTTTGGGGAGCTGGCAGAGGCCGCCCGGCTGCCCGCTGGCTGCGCTGGACCAGCCTGCGCCGCCCACCCTCCCTGCCCGGCCGTCCCGGCCTCAGGCTCTGACTCCCACGGAGGCCGCAGGGTTCTTCCTCCCGCCCCCGTCCGAGGGCTCACAGCGGCCAGGGCCCCGCCTGCTGCCTCCTTCCTTCCCCGCCTCCTCCGGCGTGGCCTCCGCCTGGCCGGGAGGGAGGAGGGGCCCAGGGAGGGAGGCTGCACTGAGACATCTGGGGGGTTAGGGCGGGGGGGGGGGGTCACCATGCGGCCGCCCGTCCAGGCTGCGGGCTGCGCTGTGGGGGGGGGGGGTGTGGGGTGGGCTGGCTCTGGGACATTCTGAGCCTCTGGGGCCCCCCTGTTCTGCCCTGGAGTCCGCGAGGGGGTGTGGACAGCCCCCCATCGAGGGCAGGCAAGGTCCGGGGGTCAGTCCCTGCACTCTGCCCCTCTGCCCAAGGGGTGTCCAGAGCCTGCCCTCTATCCTGGCCTCGCCCCCCCTCCCCGCCCCCTCCCCGGGCGGAGGGGGTGCTGAGGCCGCCCGCTGCCCCCCCTCCCCCCCCTCCCCGGGCGGAGGGGTGCTGAGGCCGCCCGCTGCCCCCCCTCCCCCCCTCCCCGGGCGGAGGGGTGCTGAGGCCGCCCGCTGCCCCCCCTCCCCGGGCGGAGGGGTGCTGAGGCCGCCCGCTGCCCCCCTCTCCCCCCCTCCCCGGGCGGAGGGGTGCTGAGGCCGCCCGCTGCCCCCCCTCCCCGGGCGGAGGGGTGCTGAGGCCGCCCGCTGCCCCCCCTCCCCGGGTGGAGGGGTGCTGAGGCCCCCCGCTGCCCCCCCTCCCCGGGTGGAGGGGTGCTGAGGCCCCCCGCTGCCCCCCCCCCCCCCCTCCCCGGGCGGAGGGGTGCTGAGGCCGCCCGCTGCCCCCCCTCCCCGGGTGGAGGGGTGCTGAGGCCGCCCGCTGCCCCCCCTCCCCCCCTCCCCGGGCGGAGGGGTGCTGAGGCCGCCCGCTGCCCCCCAGGTGAAGGCCATGCTGCGGGTCTGGCCCGCCCCGGGGGCCCCGCGCTGCGCCGAGGCCGTGGGCTTCCTGAAGGTGGACCCGCGGAGGAAGCAGCTGACCCTGTACGACCCGGCCGCCGGGCCCCCGGGCAGCGCCCCCCGGCTCGCGGCCACCGCCCCCGTCCCCAAGATGTTCGCCTTCGACGCCGTCTTCCCGCCGGACTCCGAGCAGGTGAGCGGCCGGGCCGGGACCGGGGCGCCGGCGGGCGGGGGTCCCCCGCCTCCGGCCGCCCGGCCTCTCGGGGCTCCGCCGGCCGCCGGCCCGGCTCCGGCTGTGTCCCAGGGCGGCGCCCACCTCCCCGGGGGCCCTCGGGCCCGCGTGTCCGGCCCGGGTGTGCGTGAGCCCTGACCGCACCCCGTGTGCCCTGTGCGTGCCGGGACCACACGTGTGCTGCGGTCTGGGTCCCTGGCCGGTTCGTGCTGCGTGAGCTTCTGTGTCCCGTCTGCGTGCTCTCTGCACAGAGCTCTGTTCTGGGTCTGTGTGTGCTGGCCCGGCCACCTGGGTAAGGTGTCTGCTTTTTGGCAGGACAGTCCCGCGGGACAAATTATAAAATTGGGACTTTCTTTTTAAAAAATATATTTTATTGATTTTTCACAGAGAGGAAGGAAGAGAGACAGAGAGCCAGAAACATCGATGAGAGAGAGTCATCGATCAGCTGCCTCCTGCACGCCCCCCACTGGGGACGAGCCCACAACCAAGGCACATGCCCTTGACCGGAATCGAACCCGGGACCCTTGAGTCCACAGGCCGACGCTCTGTCCACTGAGCCAAACCGGTCTCGGCAAAATTGGGACCTTCTTCTTTTTTTTCTTTTTTTAAAATATATTTTATTGATTTTGTACAGAGAGGAAGGGAGAGAGATAGAGAATCAGAAACATCGATGAGAGAGAGTCATCGATCAGCTGTCTCTTGCACACCCCCCACTGGGGATGTGCCCGCAACCAAGGTACATGCCCTTGACCGGAATTGAACCCGGGACCTTTCAGTCCCCAAGCCGACGCTCTATCCATTGAGCCAAACCGGTCCTGACAAAATTGGGACTTTCTTAAAATGCCCCGGGACGCAGGACAAATGGTTAAAAATCGGGACTGTCCCGCCAAAAGCGGGACGTCTAGCCACCTTACGTGACCTGGGGCCCGCAGACGTGGCGGGAGGGTGGCGGATCCATGACGTGGCCCTGCCTGTCCCTCCCCAGGCCGAGGTCTGCGCGGGCAGCGTGGCTGACGTGCTGCAGTCCGTGGTCAGCGGGGCCGACGGCTGCATCTTCTCCTTCGGCCACACGGGCCTCGGTGAGTGTGTCCCCTCCCCGTCACCCGCTCCGCTGTGCCTGAGCCCTGTTTATGGGTGGGCAGAGGGCCTGGGCGTCCCCCATGGGCGGGGCGGGCACGTGCGGAGGAAGCCGAAACCCTGCCTAGCAGGAGCCGGGCCTGGGAGCGGGTCCGAGGAGGCCCCGGGCAGGGCCGGATAGGTGGCGCCCGTCCGCCGGGCTCCGGGGCCCGTCTGGCCCAGCGTGCGGGGCCCTGACCCGCCGGCCTGCCCCCAGGCAAGTCCTACACCATGATCGGGGGGGACAGCTCGCCCCAGAGCCTGGGCGTCGTGCCCTGCGCCATCGCCTGGCTCTTCCGGCTCATCGGCGAGCGCCGGGAGCGGACGGGCACCCGCTTCTCCGTCCGCGTGTCCGCCGTGGAGGTGTGCGGCCAGGGCCTGCGCGACCTGCTGGCCGAGGTGGCCGCCGGCAGCCTGCAGGACGAGCAGTCCCCGGGCGTGTACCTGCGGGAGGACCCTGCCAGCGGGGCGCAGGTGGGTCACCCCTCCCCGGGGGCGGGGAGCAGCCCGGGGGCTGGCGGGGGCCGTGTCCTGGCCCCGGGCACTGAGGCCCCGTGTCCGCCCCGTCAGCTGCAGAGCCAGAGCGAGCTGCGGGCGCCCACGGCCGAGAGGGCGGCCTTCTACCTGGACGCGGCGCTGGCGGCCCGCGGTGCCGGCGGCCCCCCGGACGCCCAGGGCTCCCACCTGCTCTTCACGCTGCACGTCTACCAGTACCGCGTGGAGAAGGGCGGCCAGGGCGGAAGTAGGTGCCCGCCGCGCCCGCCGAGGGCTGGAGTCGAGCTGGGGTCATCGTCTCGGCCGCCCTCGCTCACCCGCCCGCCCTTCCCTGTGGTTTCAGTGTCCGGGGGCCGCAGCCGCCTGCACCTCATCGACCTGGGCAGCTGCGAGGGGGCGCCCGGCCGGGGCGGGGAGGCCCCGGCTGGTCCCCCGAGCCTGTCCCTGTCGGCTCTGGGCAGCGTCATCCTGGCCCTGGTGAGCGGCGCCAAGCACGTGCCCTGCAGGTGAGCCGGGCCTCCGGCCGGTGCTGGGGGAGGGGGCAGGTGCGGGCGGGCAGGTCCCGTGTCCGGCCTGGCGCTCTGTTCTGTTGCTCCACCACCTGAGGGGCCTCCGTAGCCCAGGCCTGGAGGGGTCCCCAGCACCCGGGTGGCAGACCCGCCCGGGCGATGCAGGCAGGCCCTGGTGTGGCACGGGGCCGCCGCCCCGCCGCAGCCCTGCGCCCCAGGCCCGGCCCGCCTCACCCCGACCCTCGGCCCAGGGAGCACCGGCTCACCATGCTGCTGCGGGAGGCCCTGGCGCCCGGCTCCCACGCCACCATGATCGCCCACGTCTCTGCGGCCCCCGCCCACCACGCCGAGACGCTCAGCACCGCGCAGCTGGCCGCCCGCATCCACCACCTGCGTAGGAGGAAGGGCAAGGTCAGTGCCAGTCCCCGTCCTGCCAGGGCCTCTGCCAGCCCCCCCACCGTGGGCCGGGCCCCCGTCCCGCTCTGCCGCCCCCCCACGGCCCCCGTCCCGCTCTGCCAGCCCCCCCACCGCGGGCCGGGCCCCCGTCCCGCTCTGCCGGCCCCCCCACCGCGGGCCGGGCCCCCGTCCCGCTCTGCCGCCCCCCACCGCGGGCCAGGCCCCCGTCCCGCTCTGCCGGCCCCCCCACCGCGGGCCGGGCCCCCGTCCCGCTCTGCCAGCCCCCCCACCGCGGGCCGGGCCCCCGTCCCGCTCTGCCAGCCCCCCCACCGCGGGCCGGGCCCCCGCCCCGCTCTGCCAGCCCCCCACCGTGGGCCAGGCCCCCGTCCCGCTCTGCCAGCCCCCCCACCGCGGGCCGGGCCCGGTCCCGCCAGGCCTCTGTCCCACCCCCCGGGGACCGGGGACTCCCGGTGTGTCCTGGGGCCCCGGGGCGGAGCAGACAGGCCTGGCTGGGGTGGGCGGCTGGGCACTCCCTGGGCGAAGGCGCGGAGACGGCGGAGGGACAGGGTCTGGGCCCAGCTCCGCGGCGTTGGGCAGGGGCTGCGGGGCTGTCCTCCCTCCTGGTTCGGTTCTTGCCGATTCCCCGGACGGTGCTGAGGGCAGGGCTGTGTCTGAGGCGCGGGGACCCGGCGGGTGGCGGCTGCCGCCGGGCGGCGCGGGGCGGCCGGAGCTGGTGGGAACTGGCTCACACCGGCTGCTCTGCCCCAGTACGCGTCCAGCTCCTCCGGCGGGGACAGCTCCTGCGAGGAAGGCCGCGCCCGCCGCCCCCCGCCCCTGCCTGCCTTCCACGCCCGCTCCGGGGCCCCGGCCCCCGGCCGCCCGGCCCCCCGCTCGCCCGGCGACCCCGACTACTCCTCCAGCAGCGAGCAGTCCTGCGACACGGTCATCTACGTGGGGCCCGGCGGGGCGGCGCTGTCGGACCGCGAGCTCACGGACAGCGAGGGCCCGCCCGACGCTGTGCCCATCATCCCGGCGCTGGGCCGCCGCTGGCCGCCCGGGGGCCCGCGCGACGCCGACCACTTCCGCTGCCGCACCTTCGCCGAGCTGCAGGAGCGGCTGGAGTGCATCGACGGCAGCGAGGGGCCCCCGGGCCCGGCCCCCGCAGCCAGGAAGCCTTCGCCGCCCGAGGCCGCGGCCCCCAGGACGGCCCCGGGCAGCCCGCTGGCCGCCAGCACGCCCCAGGGCAGCCCCGGCCCGGACCCCCTCCGGGGCGCCCCCGGGGACCTGCAGGAGGACTGCGGCTCCGGGCCTGAGCAGCGGGGGCCGGACAAGGTCGCGGGCGGCGGGGGCAGGAGGCCGCTGCCCGGCCCGGCTCCTCCGCCCCCCGGGAAGCCCGCGGACGGCGTGGTCCGGACGCCCCCGGCGGGCGAGAGCGGACAGGGGGGCCGCGCCCGGCCGTGCGCGCGGGGCCTGCTGACAACCACAGTGACCCTGCAGCAGCCCCTGGAGCTGAACGGCGAGGACCAGCTGGTGTTCACGGTGGTGGAGGAGCTGGCCCTGGGCGGGCGCCCCACCAGCCTCGCCAGCCTCGGCAGCGACTGCTCCCTGCAGGCCCTGGCCTCGGGTTCGAGGCCCGTGAGCATCATCAGCAGCATCAACGACGAGTTTGACGCCTACACTGCCCAGGCCCCCAGCTCCTCCAGCAGCTCCCGGCTCAGCGAGCTCAGCGCCTGCACCCCCTCCCGGGCCAGCCCGGACCCCTTCAGCCCCGACACGGCGGGGCCCGGCCCTCTGGACGCCCCGGGCCCGGCCAGCCCCCCGGAGGACAGCCACGAGGGGTCCTCGGAGAGCGGCAGCCCGGACGGGCCTGGCCCCGGGGCCGCAGCAGCCTCGGTCCGGCCGGGCAGGGAGCCCTGGGCTGGGTGCCCACACGGGGCGGCCCCGGCACAGACCATCCACTCCAGCCTTCCCCGGACGCCCAGCGCCACCGCCGCCGCCCGCCGAGCCGGCTGCCCGCGCCTGGCGCTGAGCCCGCCGGGGGGCTGCGGGGCTCCGTCCGAGGACCCCTGGCTGCTCCGGGGGCACGAGCGCGGCTCGAGGATGCCCGGCCCGGCCCCGCAGCCGGCCTGCGCCCGGAGGGTGGCGGACGGCTGTGAGGTGGCGGTCGGGGGGGCGCACCGGCCGGAGGCTGCGGCTGCCATCCCTCCGCTGAGGCGGGGGGCCACCACGCTGGGCGTGAGCACGCCCGCCGCGCCCTGCGGCGAGGGCCCGGCCGAGAGGCCCGCCCCCGGCGGCAGGAAGGGCGCGGCCGCCAAGGGGCCCCTGCTCCCCAGGCCCGGCCCCGGCCCCCCCGCCCCGCCCGTGCGCAAGTCCAGCCTGGAGCCCAAGGCCGGCCCGGCGCCCGCCCCCGCCTGCCGCTGGGGCGAGGAGGAGGCCAGGCCGGGCGGGCGGGCCGACCACGCCGTCTCCAGGGCCGCGTCCAGCCTGAAGGGCCGGGCGGGCCGGGCGGAGGCCCCGTGCCGCCCCGGCGCCCACGGGTCCCTGGAGCGGGGCGAGGGGCCGGCGCCCGGCGGCGGGAAGGCCCGGGAGGCCGGCGGCAGGCCCGCGCGGGCGGTGCCCAGGCTGGGAGTGCCGCCCGCTGGGGCGCCCGTGCCCGCTCCCGCCTGCAGGGGCAGCCCGGTCAAGGGGGGCACGGGGCTCCCCAAGGCCCCGGCCGGCGGGAGCAGGGGCCGCAGCCCGGCGGTGCCAGGAGCGCCGGCGAAGCCGCTGGCCCCCGCGGCGGCCCCGAGGGCGGCTCCCCGGGCCGCGCCAGGCGCCGGGGCCAGGGCCGGCCGGGGCACCGTCATGGGCACCAAGCAGGCGCTCCGGGCGGCCGGCGGGGGGCGGGGCCCGGCGGCCGCGGCGCCCGCGCTGCCCTCGCCCTACAGCACGGTGACGGCCCCCCGGCGGCCCCAGCGCCGCGGCAGCGGCCACGGCAGCGACAGCAGCAGCGTGCTGAGCGGCGAGCTGCCGCCCGCCATGGGCCGCACCGCCCTCTTCTGCCACAGCGGCGGCAGCAGCGGCTACGAGAGCATGCTGCGCGACAGCGAGGCCACCGGCAGCGCCTCCTCCGCGCCCGACTCCCCGAGCGACCGCGGGGCCGGCTCCCCGGGCGGCCGCGCCCGCAGCCTCAAGTCCCCGAAGAGGAGGGCCGCCGGCCTGCAGCGCCGCCGGCTGGTCCCCGCCCCGCTGCCCGACGCCGCCCTGGGCCTCCCCGCCCAGTGGGTGGACCTGCCCCCGGCCCTGGGCGCCGCGCGCGCCGAGCCCTTCGAGATCAAGGTGTACGAGATCGACGACGTGCAGCGGCTGCAGCGGCCCCGGCCGCCCCCGCGGGAGCCCCCGGAGGCCAGGGGGGGCCCGGAGGTCAGGGGCCCAAGGGTCGGGGGGGCCCGGAGGTCGGGGGGGGCCCGGAGGTCAGGGGGTCCTGGCGGGAGCCCCCAGAGGTCAAGGGGGCCTCGGAGGTCAGGGTGGACATGGCAGGAGCCCCGGAGGTCAGGGGGTCCTGGGGGTCAGGGGGTCCCGGAGGTCAGGGGGGGCTCTGGGGGTCGGGGGGGAGTGACGGGAGCCCCCGGAGGTCAGGGGGCCCGAGGGTCGGGGGGGCCCGGAGGTCAGGGGGCCCGAGGGTCGGGGGGGGCCCGGAGGTCAGGGGGGCCCTGGAGGTCAGGGGGGCCTGGCGGGAGCCCCCAGAGGTCAGGGGGGGCCCGGAGGTCAGGGGGTCCTGGCGGGAGCCCCCAGAGGTCAAGGGGGCCTCGGAGGTCAGGGGGGGCATGGCGGGAGCCCCCGGAGGTCAGGGGGGCCTGGGGGTCTGGGGGGGCCCGGAGGTCAGGGGGGGCTCTGGGGGTCGGGGGGGAGTGACGGGAGCCCCCGGAGGTCAGGGGGGCCCGGAGCTCAGGGGGGGCCTGGTGGGAGCCCCCGGAGGTCAGTGTGGGTCCCGGAGATTAGGGGGGAGCCCCCGGAGGTCAGGGCAGAGGTGGGGGAGGGCGCGAGGTGGGAGGCGGGAGGACCTGGGAGCGTGGCCGGCAGGCCTCTGACCCTCCCTCCCCTCTCGCCCACAGCCCTCCCTGGACGCGGGCAAGGTAGGACGCTGCTCTGAGCCCACGGGGCCCCGACGCCCGCCGTGGGCAGGGGGTGCTGGGGGGTCCTTCGGGGTTCCCACCCCTGAGCCCACCCATCCCGGGCCGGGTCCAGATGGGAGCACGCCTGGTGCCAGCCCCACCCCTGCCCACCTTCGAGGCCCACCGTGCCCACCCAGGCCTGGGGGGTGAGGCCCATGGGCCGGGCTGGGGTGCTGGGGCCCCCAGTCCTTCCTGCCTGAGCCCCCGCCCCCGCCAGGGCCCGGCGTGTGCCAGCGCGCAGCTGCGGCTGGCCGAGCGCAGGCAGCAGAGGCTGCGGGACGTGCAGGCCAAGCACCAGCTCCTGCGCGCGGAGCTGGCGGAGACGCGGGCCCGGCTGATGGTGGAGCCCGGCCGGTGGCCAGCGCAGTGTGAGTCCCGTCCCCCTGCGCCCCCTGCGCCCCCTGCACCCCCCTGCGCCCCGCCCCTGCTGGCCGGCACAGTGTGAATCCTATGGTCCCCCCTGCACCCCGCCCTGCACCGCCCGCCCCCCCCCTCCCCACTGGCTGGCTCAGTGAGACCCTGCCCCCTGAGGCACAGGTTGCAGGCCTCTGACCCCGCCCCCCCGCCCCGCTCCCCTTGCCCACCATGCGCCCCAGGCCCCCCGTCCTGACCGCGCCCGCTGTCCCCCAGTCGAGGTGGACCCTGCGCTGGCGCCCGCGTCGGCGGAGCACCTGGCGGCCCTGGAGCGCGTCACGGCGGCGCTGGAGCAGCACGTGAACTTGTGCAAGGCCCACGTGATGATGGTCACCTGCTTCGACATCCGCGCGGCCGGCCCGGGGCCGCAGGAGGTGGACGTGTGAGGGGCGCCGCGGGGCGGGGCGGGGCGCAGCGAGAGGGGGCGCGGGCGGAGGAGGATGTGGGGGCGGGGGGACGTGGATGCGGGGCCCCGTGCAGGACGGGGCTGGAGCTGATGGACACGAGGGCGAGGCGTGGGCGGAGAGTGAGTGTGCAGGTGACGAGGGGACTGTGGCCGCCCGGACAGCAACGCAAGTGCCTTTAACGGGAACCGGACTTCTCGTCCTTGACTTCGGTGCTAAGGACTCCAGACACCAGCAGCCACAGTGCCAGGCCCCGGGCGTGGCCGTGGGGCGGGCGTGGCTGTGGGGGCCGGCTGTGTTCCAGGTCCCTCTGCCGGACGCCCGTAGGGTCCGCCCACCCCAGGACCTGCTCCGTCCCAGGACCCGGCAGGCAGTGCCCAGGGCCCAGCCCACGTCACGTGGCACCTTCTCCACGGCAGGAATTCTTACCAAAACCACAGCAAAAAGCAAATCCCCACACAGACGTGGGGGCGGGTCCGTCACGGCTCTGCCGGCCCGTATTTTTGTACCGTTTTGCCTATGGACGCGGCGTTGGCAGGGCGTCCGAAGACAAAGGATCCACGTTCTTACGTTTTCTACGACGACGGTGCCCTCGGCGGGGCTCTCTGGGCCCCTGGGCAGCCGGGGCGGGGGGGGGGGCGGCGTCTGCCACTCCGGGCTGGTTTCTGACCGGGGTGCGTTTTTCTGGGCGCACACCCCTTTGTACAAACGTGCGGACCACACTCCCCGTGGCTTCTGTCTGTGAATAAAAGACGCATTGGTTTGTCTGTGGCTCTGAGTCCCCTCCGAGGGCGGGGGGGGGGGGCGGGGGGGGCGGCGTCCGGGGCCCGAGGGCTTGGGGACGGCAGGGGACGCCTCGGCCCAGCCCTGCAGCCCGAGCTGGGCCCGCCCGGCAGGTGACCCGCTTCCTGGCCTCCTGCCCCAGCCACAGGCTGAGGGGCCGGCTGGGCTGTGGGGAAACTGATTCCTGCTGGCTCCTGGTTCCGGGGGTTCTGTTAGCTGGGGAAACCGAGACAGGGGTGGGGTGCCCTTAGAGGCCCCCAGTCTCCTGCCCCCTGGCCTCTCCAGGACTGACAGCAGGCGCCCTGAGGACACGCCAGGGCCCAGGGCCCAGGAGCCCAGCCCGCTCAGCGGCCCCGCCGGGGCCGGGGGCTGGGGCTCGTCCCTAGAGGATGGGCCCCCGGACCCTTCGGGGTCACTGTCCCCAGCGCCCTGCCCTGGTCTTGGGGCCTCCTGGGGTCGCCCCACCTGCACCCTCAGCCTCAGGCGCTCTGACAGGCCCGGCTGGCTACCACGGTGCTGCCTACTGCTGGGCCCCGGCCAGGTTGCAGGAACCCCAGTCTCTCCCCCCCCCCCCCCCCCCCGCACTCCGAGCAGCCCCCGTGTCTGGCCTCCCCTCCAGGCAGTGAGTGGGGGCCTCCTTGGTGGCCCTGCTGCCCTGGCCCCTCCAGGTGCGCCTGTCCTCCACCCAGGGGCACCGGATAGGGGGTCTGAGTCACTGCTGCTCCCCATGTGGGTGCACGGCGGGCCTGGGTGGCTGGGGTGGCTGCGCCTCGCGGAGGGTCCAGCTGGCCGGAAGCGGCCCAAGACCCACAGCCCTTCAGTTTGCCGAGTGCCTCCTGGGCCCCCTTCCGCCTGAAGCAGGCTCAGTCCTCACGGGGTCGGCCCGGAGCCGCCTGTGCCCAGCCCCGCCCTGCCCCTCCTCTCTTGGCCCTGCCTGTGGGGCCGGGTCACATCAGCCCGCAGGCACCAGGCGGGACTCCCCCCCCCGCCCCCGGGCCTGGCTGGGGCCTCCCCGGAGTGGACCTGGCTGAGTTTGGGGCGGCTGATGGAGGACTCTCCACAGCCGGGAGCCGGGGAGCCGGGGACGGAGCCAGGAGGGCGGGCCTGCGTCTGAAGGGAACCTGTCCTGGGCCCCAGCAGACGGCTTTCATCTGGGACATCAAAGCCCGTGGCCTGTCATTACGGCTGGGAACCAGGCGCCCATTTTATGGATGGGAGCAGCGAGGCCTCCTGCTGGGGAGCATCTGGGGAGACAGCCCAGCAGCACTGGAGCCCCTCCTCCCTGATGGGCTGGCAGTCTGGGCTCACAGCTCCGGTGGACGCAGGGCAGGCCCATCGGGGTGGGTGGGGGCGGCGGGGCAGGCCCATGGGGTGGGTGGGGGCGGCGGGGCAGGCCCATGGGGTGGGTGGGGGAGGTGGGGCAGGCCCATCGGGGTGGGTGGGGGAGGCGGCCTGGGAGCCGGCGGGAGCAGGCTGGCCCCGCTGGGCGTGCGGGACAAGGGCATGGACTGGCTCCCTGGGCACCGGGCCCGCCTGACGTGCCCTGCGAGCCTGGGCCTGCCCTGCCCCCGCCACCCGGGCTGGGCCGGAGGCCATGGGGGAGGCAGGCCGTGCGGGTCAGGCTGGGGGGGCGGGCCCAGTGGGGGCTGGGGGCCGTGGGTCAGGCCCTGAGCCGCTGACGGCAGGCCGAGCTGACCCCCGGCCAGGCCCTGGGTCCCTGGTCCGGCGCCTCCTTCCTGGGCCTCAGCCAGGCCGGGCCCAGGACGGGGAGCAGTGTGCAGCCTCTGAGGGCAGTGAGGCCCCGCCTCCTCCACCGTCAGTGCCCACCGAGGGGCGGTGAAGGGTGACGTCTGGGGGTTTGGTGAGGGGCGGGTGGCAGGGATATTGGGGACGGGACGCAGAGACAGTGAGGTTGGAAGACAGCCCGCTGCCCTGGAGCCTGCCACCTGCCCGCGGCCCCAGCCCTGCTCTTCCCGGCTCTGGCCCCCGGCGCTGACCCCGCCTCTGGCCCCGCCTCGCCCCGGCGCTGACCCCCCACACTGGCCCCGGCGCTGACCCCCCACACTGGCCCCCGCGCTGGCCCCCGTGCTGACCCCGGCTCTGACCCCCGTGCTGACCCCGGCGCTGACCCCCGTGCTGACCCCGGCGCTGGCCCCCGGCGCTGACCCCCCGCACTGACCCCGGCGCTGACCCCCGTGCTGACCCCCCACACTGACCCCGGCGCTGACCCCCGTGCTGACCCCAGCGCTGACCCCCGTGCTGACCCCCGTGCTGACCCCGGCGCTGGCCCCCGGCGCTGACCCCCCGCACTGACCCCGGCACTGACCCCGTGATGACCCCCGTGCTGGCCCCCGTGCTGACCCCGGCTCTGGCCCCCGTGCTGGCCCCGGCGCTGACCCCGCGCTGGCCCCCCGCGCTGACCCCCGTGCTGACCCCGGCACTGACCCCCGTGATGACCCCCGTGCTGACCCCGGCGCTGACCCCGGCGCTGACCCCCGTGCTGACCCCGGCGCTGGCCCCCGGCGCTGACCCCGGCGCTGACCCCCCGCGCTGACCACGGCGCTGGCCCCCGTGCTGACCCCGGCGCTGGCCCCCGGCGCTGACCCCGGCGCTGACCCCCTGCGCTGACCACGGCGCTGGCCCCCGGCGCTGACCCCCCGCGCTGACCCCGGCGCTGGCCCCCGTGCTGACCCCCGTGCTGACCCCGGCTCTGGCCCCCGTGCTGACCCCCGTGCTGACCCCCGTGCTGACCCCGGCTCTGGCCCCCGTGCTGACCCCCGTGCTGACCCCCCGCACTGACCCCGGCGCTGACCCCCGTGCTGACCCCCCGCACTGACCCCGGCGCTGACCCCCGTGCTGACCCCGGCGCTGACCCCGCCTCTGACCCCTCGCTGACCCCAGCGCTGACCCGGCGCTGACCCCGTGCTGACCCCAGCGCTGACCCCAGCGCTGACCCCGGCGCTGACCTCAGCGCTGACCCCCGTACTGACCCCGGCGCTGACCCCGCCTCTGACCCCGCGCTGACCCCAGCGCTGACCCGGCGCTGACCCCGCGCTGACCCCAGCGCTGACCCCGGCGCTGACCCCGGCGCTGACCTCAGCGCTGACCCCGCGCTGGCCCCGGCGCTGACCCCGTGCTGGCCCCGGGATGCCAGGCGTGGCCTTGCCCTCTCCTGACCGGTGCCCCGGGGAGACGGGGTGAGGTCACAGAGCACCCCCGTGGGCTCCCACTGGGCCTGAGCCCTGCAGGGGGAGGGGCCTGGGAGCCGGGGGTGAGGGGTCACAGCAGCGCCCACGGCCTGCCCTCCCCTGGACCCTGGCGCCTCCAGAGGCCGGTGGCAGGGCCTCATTCATTCCTCCGCCGTCCAGCTGTGGGGTCCAGGCCCCCCCACAGCTGGGCGTGCATGGCCACCTCCCGGGGGAATCTGAGGCCCTGGCACCGCCCTGCCACTGGGGGAGGGGGTCCCGCCGCTCCTGGGACAGCAGCCCCTGCCCGGCCCCCGGGCCTGAGCCCAGCAAACAGGAAACTGGACGGCGACCTCCCTCCCCCCATTGTGTTCCAGAGGCGGGTCCAGCGTTTCCACACAGGAAGCGGGAGGCGGAGGGACGCAGGGCTGCCCAGGAGCCGCTTCCTGTGGGCCAGGCCAAGGGGGGCGGCCAAGGGGGGAGCCCCTGCCCACCCAGCGCCCAGGCCGGCGGCCGGCAAGTCCTCCTGCCTTCCCCTGGACACGGGGCCCGGCCGGGGCTTCCCGCAACAGCACAGGCCTGGGTGTCGCCTGAGGTCGCAGGGAAGGTGCTCTGGGCTGGGAGGAGCAGCGGGGAGGCAGGTGGGCACCAGCGGGGCAGCCATGGCCCCCAGCACCCGTCCAGGTGAGAGCCCAGCGCCCTCCCCGCCTCCGGCAGGCGGCTCCGCGGGCCGGGGCCTGGGCGGCCCTAGGGGCCCCTCTCCGCCCGCCCCTGCCCTGAGCCGCCCGGGGGTGGGCTGTCTGCCTCCGCCTGCGGAGGGCGGTGTCCGGGCCAGACGGAGCGCCCGGCGGGCATACCCGCTCCTCCAGCGCAGACGGGGCTGTATATCTCCTCCGGCTGAGGGGGCGCCGGAGCCAGAGCCGCCTGATTTGTGGCCACCGTGTGGCGGGCGCTGGCATCTTTACGAGGATGCGCTCGGCGAGGACCCGGGCAGGACGGTGACCTACAGCCCGCGGCCCGCCCCTCACCGTGTCCACGCGCCTCCCCCTCCCCACCTGCCCCTCACCGTGTCCTCGCCTCCCCCTCCCCACCCGCCCCTCACCGTGTCCACGCCTCCCCCTCCCCACCCGCCCCTCACCGTGTCCCCGCGCCTCCCATTCCCCACCCGCCCCTCACCGTGTGTCCACGCCTCCCCCTCCCCACCCGCCCCTCACCGTGTCCCCGCGCCTCCCCCTCCCCACCCGCCCCTCACCGTGTCCCCACGCCTCCCCCTCCCCACCCGCCCCTCACCGTGTCCCCACGCCTCCCCCTCCCCACCCGCCCTCACCGTGTCCCCGCCCTCCCCCTCCCCACCCGCCCCTCACCGTGTCCACGCCTCCCCCTCCCACCCGCCCCTCACCGTGTCCCCACGCCTCCCCCTCCCCACCCGCCCCTCACCGTGTCCCCGCGCCTCCCCTCCCCGCGCCTCCCCC